CAGAAAATTACCTGCTATGGTATTCCCCAGGGAAGTATAATCGGTCCTACCCTTTTTCTCGTTTACATCAATGATTTATGTAACCTTAATTTAAAATGTGGTAAAATTATATCTTACGCCGATGATACGGCCTTGATTTTTAGCGCTAATAGTAGGTCAGAATTATATGAGGTAGCTCAACTTGGTCTTAATGGTGTAAATAACTGGCTTCGCTGCAATTTACTAACACTGAATACTGACAAAACCAATTATATTCACTTTTCTATGCGCCAGCCTTGTCATGGGTTTACAAATCCTAACTTATACGCACACCAATGCCAATATCCTTCAGTCAATATATGCGATTGCCCTTTAACACGGAACACATCCCATATAAAATATCTAGGTATCTTAATTAACGACACATTATCTTTTAGACAGCATATTGCAAATCTAGTAGTCAGGATCCGTAAATTAATGTATATTTTTAAAAAAATTACCTACCATTCCAGGTCCAAAACTAATTAAACAGGTATATCAGGCCTTATGCCAATCAGTAATTCAATATTGTATAACTTCATGGGGTGGAGCTCTCAAAACTATTTTAATCCCTCTCGAGCGAGTTCAAAGAGCCATTTTAAAAGTAGCCAATTCACTTCCCTTCTTATATCCTACGCATCAACTTTACAAATACTGTAATGTGTTAACTGTTCGCCAGCTTTTCATTATGCACACCATATTAAAACAACACACCATTTCACCTTTTTGCTCTGATATTACTAACAAAAGACGGAAAGATATAGTCTGCATCTCTACACATGATTCAAAATACATCTTTTCACATAGATTCTCTACTTTCCTAAGTCCTTTCTTATATAATAAGTTAAATAGAGTGTTAAGTATTTATACATTAAACTATTTTAACTGTAGAAATGTAGTATTTAATTATTTGCGTAACCTGACATACGAGCAGACCGAAGAATTACTTCTTATTTGTAAATAAATGAACGTAACTCCATAATTTACATTTACCAACATTTATACAATGATTACTTTATGTTCTGTTTTAATTAATTTGTTAATTTATTAATCATCCAATGTATTATTTTAGATCATAAAAGCCTGAAATACAGGTACAATTTTAACTGTAACCTAATTCAGGCATCCATTATTTTGCACTTTATATTATTATTAGTATTATTATGCAATGTATGACTTTATTTGAATAAAGATATATTTTATTATTAAAAAAAAAACCATTTGTGAGTTTCCGTTGCGTGCATATATATATATATATATATATATATTACATCAACTTCCGATAAGGTCTCCCATGCGATCAATACTGCATTTCGAAGCTCGCCTAGCGTTTGCGGTTAGAAGAGGATTTAATTTTTCTTTTGAGTATGTCCCAGATGTGTTCTATGGGGTTTAAGTCCGGGCTACGCGCACGCCACTGTAATTTTTGAATACCAAGGTCTTGCAGGTAGTCCTCAACGCATCGTGCAACGTGTGGGCGTGCATTATCGTACATTAATTGGAACTGGTCGTATCCAATAAGCCCCATATAGGGTACAACATGATCCTGTAGGATCTCTAGTTAATGGCATTTTTTTTGCTTTTTAAGTAAGTTTACACTTTAATAAAATCCGAGACAACGCAAAAATTAAAAAAAACGGCACAGTAAACTATACACATAACAACATTCAAATTTTCAATTATATTGCTTAAAATACGCGATGTGACTAAATCTCACAATTCACACCATGAAACGCTGAAACATAATGAATTACCCTTTTAAAACAAAGCTTAGCATTTTTATGACCCACCTTCATAAAAAACATTTAAATGCATAAAATATTTAACCATCCACCCATATTGACCCTAGTCTTTTAAACTAATAACAAGAAAACATACATGTTGACTCAAAGCACAGATTGAAATGTAATGAAAATACACTTATTTCAAATTGACTTATTGAGAGCTCGTTTGAATCATCCAACATTGTATTTTCATCCAAGACAATTCTCTTCTAAGAGAATTCTTCAAACAGACCTTTATAAATATACCTACATCCTACATGTATCAAAACCAGTGTGGCGATTACAAATTAGAAAAGTGTGTTAGTTATCACAAGAATCAATCAATGTTCCCGGAAGCCGGATGGGGGAGATTGGGGAATAAATTGAGTTTGGGGATAGACGGATTATCGACATCGGTCCGAAACCTGATAAAATGTCGTCCGATGTTCCGATAATGCAAGCTTGATTGCGCAGCGACATTACCTACATGTGTATGTGAAGTTTAACTTAATTTTCGCTCACATAACCGATTTTAGGTAGGTACTGTAACGCCCGTTGCGTTACGGCCTCCTTGCTTGTATAAACTCTTTCCTCATGCAATGCCTACGGCTGGCAGTTATATTATAAAGAAAATGTCATTTTTTAAAGATTTGAAATTGCGAATATTTTGTCTTTTTAATTTAATTTAGCTCGACAAAATTAAATAAAAAATCATTCTGCAGACCTGAACAGGCTGCGAAACGTCAATAAATAAATAAAGTTTCGTGCATTAACCCGTTAAAAATGAGTGATGTGCGTGAAAACCTAAGAAACAAATGTAATATTTTGTCTTTTATCGAAGATTCCAGCTGATAGAATTCGGGCACAAAAACGTTCGGTCGACTATTAATTAAAGATAATATGTATTTCTGAGTCGAATAAATTAAATGAAAAGTCCTAATCGTTATTATTTATTAATTATAGCTCCGCTCCCAGACCTATCCCTTTAGGATAGAGCACCACAGTACCTAAATACATCATACCTTCTGAAAGTACGCATCAATAATGTAACAGTACCTCTAGCACGAAGCACCAATATCGAATTCGTATCGTTTGCGAGTTCGAAATGTCATTGTCAAATGTGTTCTGATTTTTAGTTCTCGTTACGTACTTTGTGCCGCTGCTGTTCAAGTTTCCATACAAAATTTGACATTGACATTTCGGTTTGCAAACTATTCGAATTCGATAATGGTTCGTGCTAGGGGTACAGTTAATTATAAAGTTCCTTAAATAATAGGTAGTGATGATTTAGATACAGGAGAACATTGTTCATCGCACTAACATTATAAAGGCGAAAGTTTGTGAGTGTGTATGTTTGTTACTTCTTCACGTCTAGACGGCTGGAGCGATTTTAATAAAATTTGGTATGGAGTTATCTGACACCCTGTATTAACATGTAGGGTAGGTTTTATTGCGGGAAAATATCCCTAATAAACCGCAAGTAACACCGCGGGGCGCAGCTAAGTAGTTCATAAAGCATTACATAAGATATAATGATGATATAAAATACCTAGTGTTTGTTATGATTATCGCCGTTTTATCGACTCTGCACGTTCTTTCAGGTTGACTGGTAGAGAATGCCATGCTGGCATTAAGTCCTCCATATGCAATGTAAAGGCATTAAAGATTAAATAAATAAAAATAAATTAATTAGTTACCATCCAAATGTAGTTTATATCGGGCAGCACCTCATAAATTGATTAAATGAAAACGTAATCATTATTCTTCCCCCCCCCCCCCCACCGCACATAAACATACTCAATGTCCTTATTGATTAATGATTATTAAAAGAAGAAAGAATCTGAGTAGAAAAAGATTTTAAGCACTAACTAGGTCTTAGTAATCTAAGTCCTAAAAACTTGGAAAATATTACGTGTCTTGTATGCGACTGCTAATGCGGCTTTGTAACAGGGTCAGCCGTTGAGTAGACGCGGAGCCCTGAAAATCAGAGATAATAAATCTTTCCGTACAATGCTTCTTAACCAGTTCACTGAAGCGCGACAGGCAGTGCGATCGATCCGTCAACAAATCCGAACAAATCAACACAAACATCCACTGGGACCACATTCGCCGAGTTTTATTGTTTACTTCTTGATTGATCACAGCGAGTCGCTTTCCAGAATTGTTTGCTTAGGTAGTTGTTACAACTCAATCATGTGTGAATATCAGAATATGAGCGAGAATTTGGTTTTCAAAACTTTAATTAGTTTCTAGTGAATTTTCCTTATTGCATCACTTTGCTGTAAGTGCTGTACGGACGTACAGTAATATTTATGCCGCATATTATTTTTAAATATGCCGCATATTTTGACGATCCTAAGGGAAACATTTTTGTTTTTTATATAGCGAGGTAGCCAAATGACTCTACCCCACCTGATGTTAAGTGGTGATAAAGTCCAAACGCGAAGATAGCTGGTACAGCAGTTATAGACTGCTACACCAACCATCCTCACCTTGCCGGCCTGCAAAAATGCTTCTTACGAATAAGTACGACAAAGAAATGAGTCACCAAATTTCTTTGTTCGTGTAGGAATAGTGGCCACAGTAAGTCGGTGGCTAAGTAGGCCAGCGCGCGTGGTCCTCTGAAGAAAAGGTAATGGAGAGATAAGCGAGAATAGCTCCTCAGAACACTCGCCGTGGTATAGTCGGTACCACGATGATGCCACATCACGGCGTTATTGTAGAGACTCCAGAGAATACTTATAGGTAGAGTATCTCCAGGTCTCAATATCTATAGGTAGAGTATCTCCACCCTTTCACCTAATATGTTTTGGCAGGCATGTAGTAATTCAACTTAATACAAACATAAATAAAAGAAGAAATTCAAAAGTAGAATATTATCAATTTCTTACTTAAATCACAATTACATACTGTAAATAGTGCGTAGTCTAGACTCATACTCAGTCTCCGTATCATATGCTGAATATTATGTTTATCATCATCATCATTATTAGGCGATGGATGTCCATTACACGTAGGCCTCCGCGTTTTCTAGGGATTTACAGCCACAACCGTCCTGCACTTATAAACTCAGTTGGTCCCCCCCCCCCCCCCCCCCCGACAGGCTTAATGTCATCAGTCCACCTAGTGAGTGGCCTTTAGGATAAGCAAAATGTATTTCATATTTTCACACTGTAACTGATTTTAAATCATCCAATTTCACTTTTGATTCTCCATTAGGTTGGGCGGACTGCGCTGCACGTAGCTTGCGAAGGCGGCCACTCCAGCACCGCTGCTGTCCTGGTAGCCAGAGGGTCGGAGAGGGAGGCGCGGGATATCTCCGGCCGCACCCCGCTCCACCTAGCGGCCGTACATCGACACACGGAGTTAGTGCGATCGCTGCTAGAAGCCGAATGTCATGTGGACGCTACTGATAATGTAAGCATAAGTTCGGGCTTACTGCTCTGCATGGACTTGAGAAGGAGGTCACCACAGCACCGCTGCTCTCCTGGTAGCCAGAGGGGCGACGAAGGAAGTGCGGGACATCCCTGGGCGCTACTAGAGGTTGAAATGTCATGTGGACGCTACCGATAACGTAAGCATAAGGTCGGCCATGGATTATCTTTATATATATAATTCTTCTGTGAGTGTGTATGTCACTGAACTTCTCTTAAACGACTGGACCGATTTTGATGAAATTTTTTGTGTGTGTTCAAGGGGATCTGAGAATGGTTTAGATTCACAATTTTGTCCGCTGGACAACCCCTATTTTTTTAAGGGCGGTACGAAGTTCGCTGGGTCAGCTAGTCTTTATATATATAATTCTTCTGTGAGTGTGTATGTCACTGAACTTCTCTTAAACGACTGGACCGATTTTGATGAAATTTTTTGTGTGTGTTCAAGGGGATCTGAGAATGGTTTAGATTCACAATTTTGTCCGCTGGACAACCCCTATTTTTTTAAGGGCGGTACGAAGTTCGCTGGGTCAGCTAGTTATATATAAAAGTCCATGGGTCGGGCGTACTGAGCTGCACGAGACTTCTAAAGGCAAACCACTCCAGCACCGCTGCTCTCCTGGTAGCCAGAGGGGCGGTAAGGGAGGCGCGGGACATCTCCGGTCGCACACAGAGTTGGTGGGAGTTCTGCTAGAGCCCGAATATCATGTGGACGCCACTGATAATGTGAGCTTATCGTATACTTTCAGGCATTTCTGGTTGCCTGATAACGGCCGGCTTCATAGATATCTAATAAATGTCATTTATGTTGTTTTTTTCTAAACTATCAGTGTAAAGAAATGACACTTACTGTATATAAGTACTATATCATGTACTTCACAATAAATTAAAAACTTAGAACAAATTTTTTATTAAATCCTATAAAGACTCAACAGTAATTTTAAAGTTTTATAGGTCATTTCTGAAAAAGCAGATAGCGCCAAATAAAACGAACTTACTCAGGGTAATGTATTCCTTTACAAGACTACCTCGAAAGTTAAGTACCAAGTCTCTACATTTTACGACAGTTATGAAATTTGTTTAACTGTTCATAAAATTCTTAACACCCCTAAATTTTTCGTGTAATAATTGTACCCATTTTTATAAGTCACTAGCCGCCGCCCGCAACTTCGTCTGCGTCAACTTTAGATCTTTTGAGAACCCTACAGAAACCTGACTTTTTTTTGGGATTACAAGTATAACTATGTCTCATAGCATGATGTTATATTACTATAGCCTTCCTTGATAAACGCACTATCCAACATTTTTTTTTTTATTTTTTTTTTCTAATCGGATTATTAGTTTTTGAGATTAACGCGTTCAACCAAACAAACAAACTCGCCAGCTTCATAATAATAGTATAGATTTTCCGAACCCAAACCGTCTTATTCCAAAACGTGGACTAAAGTTAGTTATGGTTTAAACCTAATGTTGTCTCCGACTTCATTTTAGCAAACAAAAGTGGCAGGATCAGTTTTAATCTAGGTCATGGAGGTTAGAGAGAAGGAAAACGATCGCTACGTGCAAAAGCATAACCCCCTGTCCCTGAAAATTTGTAGAATTTATAGTTCATATTTCAGCCACCAACCGTGCTGCCGTCGGTGAGAAGTATCTGTGAACTTAGCTGATATGAGTACAAGTAGATGAAGTTAGTTATTTATTAATAAATAATACTAAATAATACTGTACTAACTGTTAGTGGAAACTATGTTGATGTATGTTAATCTATATTTAATTTATCTAAATGTAATAAAATATTGTATGTTTCCCAAATAAAAAATAAAAAAAAATCGTTGTTTTTTTTTTTTCTTTGAATGATATTATACACGTATATTAAATGTTGATAGATCATTTCAAATTAGCGCACAACAGCCTGTTTTATTGAGACAACTTAGCGATCGCAGCGCCTCAGTTATTTTGTCCATATTTCTGGGACACAAATTTCTACAGCGATCGTTCTCCTTATCTCTAACCTCCTGGCCTATGTTTAACTTTAGTCTACGTTTTGTAATATTGCTGTCACTTGTGTGTTCGAATGTTGTACTTGTACGTGTAACTTGTGTTTAATAGGCAAACAGTACCCTTAGCACGAACCATTATCGAATTCGAATAGTTTGCGAATCCGAAATGTTATTGTCTGTATGGAAACTTGAACAGCAGCGCCATAACGGACGTAACGAGAAATAAAAATCGGTAGATATTTGACAATGACATTTCGTACTCGCTTGATATTGGTTCGTACCGAGTCTGGCGAATTCCACAAAAGTGCACCGCCATTTTCTAAAAAGAAGAAGAAGAATTGGTTCGTACTAGGGATACAGTTCTATTAAAACTGAACAAAACTAAAAAAAAACAGTTCGTTACTGAGGAACGAATACTTGCATACGTGACCAAACAGTGGGGTTACTCTCTTTTTCCGAAACGAACTTTCGATAGCAAAGTTCAAACGAAATTTAATTTCGTCAATTTAAGATTATACTTAATTTGAATGACAAACTATCAAATTGAAGCTTTCTTTGAGTAGGCTTAGAAAATCTACACCTCAATCTATATATCGACGATGAATATTATTATAATTAAAAACGAACCAGAAACATAGTAAGAAATGTGCGAAGTTTCGATCGAAATTTCGTTTTTCGAATTAGAGTAGGCCTCCAGGTACCCAAGGTACCCACTGAAATTGCCACGAACGGAGCTGACGGTCGTTTTAGATTTTCCTATTTTCGCAGAACGGCGTAACGGCTCTGCAAATGGCGTGTGCCCAAGGCTGTCGGGGCATCGTCGAACATCTGCTGGCGTACGGAGCCAACGTGCATTTGCAAAACAATGTGGGTAATATACCTACCATTACAACAACAATTATTCTAAAGAAATTTTACTGGAAAAAATTTACTCAGTCCAAGTTTCAGACGCGATTCGAATCGATCTGCCGCTATCCTGGCAGGGATGTATGACAAGATGCGGGTTCGAATAAACATCTAGCAAGTAAATACTTAAAAATAATAATAAGTATAATATATTACAATTATTATTTATCTCTCACCATATTCAGTTTATTCTAAATAGATAAATAATACTAAGTCAAAATATCACTTATCTGATTAATTATAGCAGGCAGAAAACCTGAGTTAGGAAAACCTGAGGCTCAGGTTATCAGTTCTCCACCTTTTTGAATGTAACACAAAACAATCGTCGTATGCTTAGTTTAAATCAAAGAGTCCCTTTTTGTTTAAATCTAAGGCTGAATGGCATACATTGGCGTAGTCAGGTGTACCAAGCAGGACATCGAGAAAAAGAAATTCATTATTCAGACCAAAATTTTTTTTTTTTGATTCCATGTTACTAAAAAGAAATAGATTAATATGATAAATCTTTTCGATCGGTAAATTAAAATTATCGGACATTTATTTTCACTTTTAGCAGTTCGACTCCCTTCGACTTGCGTATCGGAGTTTCTGATCAAGAAATCGAATCAGGAATCCCGATTCTGAAACTTGAATGCGTACGTTCTTACATACAACATTTTCAATGAAGCGCACACTGTTCTTTTTTTGGAAATCAGAATGGAAAAACCGAACGTTCGGTTGGGACCTTAACTAATAAAAAAACGTACGGAAATCGTACGTTTGCGCCCAGTCTATAGCCAGCTAAGTTTGTTTGTTGTTCCTACCAGGTTGGTTCGTCAGCCCTGCACGCCGCGTGCGCCGCCGACGCCACGGAGATTGTGGAGTTGTTGCTCGCTCACGGGGCAGACCCCGCCCTCACTGACCAGGTACTCTTTCAAGACCCTCTCTTTTTAGCCTGTTTTGGTAAAAAACGTGGTAAACAAGGATATGGACCGCTTAGTAGTGAGCGTTCAACCTGTTTTCATTGTTATTACGAAAACGATTATGATTTTCGTGTGATCTATAAAAAAAACCGAAGCAGCAGTCGTTGTTATGCTGACGTACCTATTATATGGGGTGCACAAAAACTACTACAAAGACTACTTCGGAAATGCGATGTAATGTACCGTCAACCTTTAAGGCCCGTATTACAGAATGACAACCAAGTGTTGATCTTTACATTAGTACAGTTAGAAAGGAAATCGCTATGTGCTATAATAATATACGACAAGCGACATCCCTTTCTAACTATGTTTAAAACTAGATCAGTCACTGAGAATCTTTCTACAATTCGGGCCTTAGACTTTTGCCTGTCAGTCATTCTATTGTTCGCCATTTAAAAACCTCTTAAGCCCAAGTAATGCCAAATGTGTGTTTTGAGGAGTTATTCTCCCATATCCCTCCATCACCTTAGGACCACGCGCGCTGGCCTACGTTGCCACCGACTTACTGTGGCCACTATTCCTACACGAACAAAGAAATTTAGTGACTCAATTCTTTGTCGATTAGGGGTGATGATGGGGTCCAGTAAACGAAATTCTATTTAATCCGTCAGTTAGATGATCAAAAAATAATGGACACGTATTTTTTCTGTGGGCAATCAACCAAAAAATGACAAAGTTATAGCGCGTCAAAGTTTGGGAGTAGGGGCTCGTGACGTCACTTTTGAGTGAATTTTCACTTATAAGTGTACTCAAACGTCATGCGACTTTTCAAATATATATATATCTCTGCAATGTTTATATTATGTGAAAAAAGAAAAAATATGTGTCCAATACTTTTTTATAATCTACCTGATAAACGAAGATAAAAAAATAGTCATCATCCCTCTTTGCCCCCGCACGTGTTCCATCCATCCTCTTACAATCTGGGGTCCTTTAAGAGAGGCGTGAAGAATCATTTTTGCAGGCCGGCAAGGTGAGGATGGTTGGTGTGGCAGTTTATAACTACTGTACCAGCTATTTTCGCGTTTGGACTTTATCACCATTTAACATCAGGTAGAGTCATTTGCCAACCTGTACCCTTAGTACGAGTTTTACCATTACGAAAACTATGATAGTTTTCGTGAGCTCGCACTCGTACTAAGGGTACCGATTTCATTGTTTTCGGTTCGGATGGTATCATTTGCATCTTCTTAAATTTTAAGTTTCTTTGGTTACTTTTCACCAAAACGGACATAGAAACATAATTTACAATTACGAAAACTATGATAGTTTTCGTGAGTTCAAACTCGTACTAAGGGTATTGGCTATAAAAAAATGTGGTGCCTACTGCGACTCTGGTTGTGGCAATGAGAATCATATTTTATCAACGTTTAATGCTTCCCATTGAAAAACCTGCACTATGCGCATGGAAAAACTAGAACCTGGCGCAACTAAAGTTTTTGACGTGACAACGTCTTAAATTAGGTTGCGGCTGGGAGTCACTTATGAAAAAGTGTAACGCTCGGTAACGTTACGATGAGTTTAAGTTTACATGTACAATGTTTTAGTAAACAAAATATATTTCTATAGTTAAAATTTGTGCAATTCTTATTTTCATTCAATTCCTTGTTCCTATTGTGCAATTTAATTATATTCATATCAATAAATATTCTACCGAGAAAAAGACGTTGTCACGTAAAATCTTCGCCCGTAAAACCGACTTTACAGGCAACCATTTTTTTTCTTTACAGTTAGTCCAGCGTTCAATGCAAACAATTTAAAGAAGTCTTCCCTGTTCTTGAAAATTCTTATAGTGAGTGATTCACCATCATTACTGTGTTTAGTTCTAAACAATTTTATGTGATTTTTATTATAATTTGCATTGACACAATAACAATATATTATTTTTTTGGTGAATAAAACGAATTGAAAAACTGAAATAAAATTTCATTGCTGTAATAAATAAATGAAATGTTGTCTATAAATTATTCTGTAAAAGCGTAGGCAACGATTCAAACCAAAATACTAGCTAGAAAAAATATATACAAAATTCAATAAAGATAATTTCAGGGGACACCCGGGTTTGAACCGGGGACCTCTCGATCTGCAGTCGAATGCTCTACCACTGAGCTATATCCCCACTTGTAAAGCTGTCTGAAATTTCTATCCACATTCATAAAAGTTCAACGACCCTCTGATGTCATCAGAATATTGTTTTAACATTGATACTGTAATCGACTCCCACTGATATGACTCATTTTAGAAACAATGCATGTGAATCAAATAAAATTAATTCTTTATATCTCAATCTTAAGGATTAAAATCCTACAGTTGTGTTGGTTAGGTAAGTAGCTTACCAAATGGAACATTAATCTGTTTTTATATTTTAGATAAGGCTATAAAAATGTCTAAAACATTGAGAACGCAAAACTCAAGTTGAACAATCCATACTCCATATTATGTATAAATGCGATGCGAAAATATTTAAAATGCGAAAGTGTGAATGTGTCTGTCTTTCTGTTTGTCTGGACATGTATACGGACAATTATGGTCGTGGTAGCTTAATAGTAAGTGCATCCGCCCGGATAGCGAAGGGTGCAGGTTCGAGTTCCGTCGGCTGCCTGGTCCGCGTAGATTTCTTTCCAATAAAATTTTCTTTAATACTTTTACTCCTTTGTATTTTTCAAATTAACATTCAAGCTTGATTACCATCTATGATCTGCAACTGACAGTTTATAGGCGTTACGATTGGTTTAATTTAACAATAATAATTAATTACATAAACGCTATTGTGTATATTACTCGGCTAGAGACAAGGGAGGCTAGGCTTGGATCAGCATAACATGAGCAAAAACTAAGGAGAACCATAGCTCTAGATAATGTGCAAACATTAGTATCCCTGGGGCCGAATTGAAGGCCAGGCAAGACCACAGAAAGAGGTTGGAAGGGTGATCATCAGTGCCGTCTTTGACCTATTGGAGGCCCTGGGTATATTAGGATAATGGGGCCCCTATATTTGGTGATTTGACAGGAACTAGGGATTTGTATTTGATCTGAGGGGTCCCCCTATCGATCGCGGGGCCCTGGGCACTTGCCCAAAGTGCCCACTGGGAAAGACGGTTCTGGTAATCATATACCGTTTGTACGGGAACCGATGTCGCCGGCTCGCTTCCACACTATACTTCCACCTGATAGATAAAAGCCAATCAAATGACGCGACATTAAACAATCGAACCAATCAGCGCTTACACCCGAGAGCAACGATGTAATCAGAACAAAATAATGTATACTGTAAGGTTAGGAGGAAGCGTAGTGGGGGTGAGCCGGCGACATCGGTGCCCTTACAAACGGTATATGATCACCCTTTTGACCTGTTGTTCTGTGCATATAGGTACGGAACCCTGCTTGTACTTGACCCGGCACGCACTAGGCTGATTCTTCAATGTTATTTTGCTCAACCTAATGTTAAATTGAATCTTGTACAATCGCACGAAAGCATTCGTGTGATGCGCAAAAAATATTTTTGTATGACGGAATGATGTCCCATAAAGTCAGCTGTATTAACGGTCGATGTTCACAAACATGTTAATAAATCGTAAATCCGAACACATACCTATTAATATAAGTATTGAACACTTTAATCTTGTTATTACGTTAATGGATGTCGATTACCTACCCTTTTAGATGCCTTGGTGACGCCATAACCATTAATATTGGGCAGTCCCAACATCATCGTACTGAAAATATTATTCAGTACAATAATATTTTCAGAATGATGTTGGGACCGCCCCGCTTCTGCAGTGCCTCCGGAATGTTTGTGAAACTCGAACTGATGGTTTCCATGCCGTCTTGCGGAAAAAAGTTACGACACTGTACCCTTAGTACGAGTTTGAGCTCACGAAAACTATCGTAGTTTTCGTAATTGTAAATTTTGTTTCTATGTTCATTTTGGTGAAAAGTAACCAAATATACTTAAAGTTTAAGAGGACGCAAATGATTTAATGATCGAATTTAAACACTGTTTATTTGTATTGAAACGAAAACAATTAAATCAGTACCCTTAGTACGAGTGCGAGCTCACGATAACTATCATAGTTTTCGTAATTGTAAAACTCGTACTAAGGGTACTGGTGTGTAGAGTGGCGAGCAGTAACAACACCATTCTGAGAGTCGTGGCAGGGGATCCGCATGTTACCATTTTGGAGGCATTCCGTGCAAGTGATGACTGAAATAGAAGTTAATTATTCTTCCAGCCCCTCTAGCATGACCACTGAAACGGGATATGATAAAGCGATATATCGGCATTAACTGTCAAACTCTACTGTAATCTGACAGTTAATGCCGATATATGGCTTTATCATCATTGGTGGTCATGCTAGAGGGACTGTTGTCGCAAGCGCGGAGTGCCTCTAAGGTACATGACCTTTTGAAAAACAAAAATGTTCTAAATGTGTGAATACTTACTATAGGCTACTAACAGTTATAAGTTATAGTACATACTAATATATGGATCTGTGTTGTCTGCCAATAAATGATTATTATTATTATTAATGACCATTGAGCAACAGAGCACAGCGGATTTTCCATTCGAATTTGGGACGCCCGTCTGTTGAAACAACCTCCACCCTTTCTCCACCATACAGAAAACCACAGTAAAATAACACTAAGGGCCTGTTTCACAGTAAAATTCTAAGTAAGCTAATCTGCTCAGTAAAGAATAGAGATGTTGAATTTTTTTGGAAAAGCGTTTAAAAGCAAACAAAAGTGCCCTGTCGACGTCAAAGTCAACATACCTATTTGTTTACTGAGCAGATAAGTTGTAACTTATTTAGAATTTTACTTAGCGATTGTGAAACGGATCATAAGTAAAATTTAAGTATGTCCTTACTTTTTGATTTTGATAACCTGCTCTCTATTGTCTATTATTCTTTCCCGTAATTTTATTTTTAATCCTATAAATATAT